AAAGAGAAAATTTAAGAGAAGAAAAATTTTAGTCGCTGTCAGGTTTCGAATCCGGGACCTATTGAGTGAGAAGCAAACACCGTAACCTCTTGACCACGCGAACCCCCCACCCCCACCCATAAAGCAGCGGTGTGTGCGTTCCGTGGCTATAGGCAATAGAGTTTGTGATACAAATGTTTTACATCCACTTTGACCCAATTTAGATCATTTAGGAGTCGACCTACTTCTACTCTGCCTTCGGGCCAGCCAGGGGGCTGAGTTGGCTTTTATGATCCTTGAATATAAACGGAAATACAAACAATGTACTCCATGAAATGAAAAGCCCCTCATTCGGGAATCGAACTCGTGTCTTCTGAGTGGGGCGACGACGGGTTTTTAAATGACACCGTTGATGACAGTGACAACAGCTCGAAATTTCTGCTCTCCGTTTTGTCTTCTGTAATGACGATGCATAGCTGTGACAGCGTATCTAAAGTAAGCATCACCCATTGAGTTGAATTACTGTACAATGTTGTATTTTATCCTATAGATCGGGCACTGTCGTGGCCGCTACTCTATGCTCTTTATAAAAGAAACTTCGCCACGCTAAAGCACACCGTGGTCGAGCAAGTGGAAAGCAAAATACCAGACTCGCAAATCTAGTCGTGTGAAGTCGCAACCTTTCTCTCTTTGCCCTTCATTTAATTTGGTTCCTAACAGTCAAACGGTATGCTTCATGGCGAATCGGAATAAGGTCAAGGTGCAGTCTTTGATTTTGTTATTAAAATACACTACAAGTCTGTGGCATGAATACGCACCTGTTGCGGTTGAATCGAAAGACATTATTCTTGATCTGCCCTCATTTGTATCATCTAGTCTCTTCAGATACAGCATGATGTGTATTATATAATGCCTTTGTTGCAACGTTTTGCCTTTCAACTTGGAGACTTTTTTTGGCTTCATTCTTTTCTGGACTGAGGTCTTCAGCTGGCTGATCTCCGTTTCGGACGTTGATCTCTGTCCAGGTTGCTCAGAACAAATTACTGGCATTCACTTCAAGCTGACCTACCTACAATCCCTTGATCAGCAGCTTGTTACTTTTGGCTGTTTTGGTTTGAACCTTTGAGGTCATGTCTCCCTCGCAGACTTTTACTTTTTGCATCGTCGTCCTTTCCTTGACCTTCCCCCCTCTTGTTCCCAAGAGAAGAGTTCTTTTGGTATTTTTAAACTGCCATGCGGCAAATGTTTCCCAACCGTCTGTGTGTGCGTCACATCAGTGCAGGAAACAAAAACCTAGAGAACGCCTGGTCTTTCCCGTATCTTGGTTTAATCATTTCCCGTCATTCATGCACATTATTCTGGTTTACCGACACCGCTTGAGAAGCAGAACTTGTTCATTGAGACATATTTCACAGGTTTTCTTAATTTGAAACTTTAATATAACACCATTTAAACGATGAAATGTGCACATTTGTGTTTCGGATTGTGTGAGATGGTTTAACATTTTTATGTTTCTGCAGCGTTACCTTTGGTCTGCAGCTGATTGGAGATAATTATATATACATA